AGGGAAAGAAAAACAACTTGTGTATTTTTTGGAGAGTCCAATTATTGCACATATATGACAAAAAATAAGCATATGTTTTGATCTGAGCACATTTATAATAATGTTTGTACATTTATTTTTGGTTGCAGTAGTTTTTAGTTACCACAAGCAGCACAACTTCTCACTCAGGGCCATATTACATCCTCTATTTTTGCAAGTGGGGAAGACAACAATTCAAGACAACCAAGTACAGAGGGTGTGGGAGGGCAGGGGGACTCTTTGCATGTGATTCACGTGTGTTATTTGTATGAGCACTGAACTTCTTGATAGAAGCATATAGCCTGAAGCTATGCTGCTCTGTATGTGTATGGTGAATACAGTGGGAGCCTCAACATTGTTCATGGGATCACTGAAAAGCAGTGATAGGTATTTCCCAAGAACCAAACATCTTAAGCTATTAACTAGTCCAGGAAACCAAAATCTTGAGCAACTGAGCCATGTTTTCTGAGGTATAAGAGCAATCTGTGACGCTTAGGTTTTTTGAGGCAGATTGTCTCCAGTCCAGAATTGCACATTTAAAATTATAAATAAAAGTGATGAATAAACACACTTTTTTTTACAGAGAGGCTTGTGTGACACTTGACAGTGACTATTACTGATTATGTGTGTTGTAACATTGCCTCTTACCTTGGAAAAGAGCATGTTTCTTTGGGTTTTTGCTATGGTGAATTATTGCATTGACAGAAAAGACTATAAGAAATAGAAACTAGATTGTAAGAGACATCTAGTCCTAAAATTAAGGAGAAAATTTACTGAGAGTTAGTTAGGAAATGGCAGCAGTTACATGAGTAGGGACAGCATCCATAACAACAACCACGCTTGTACTTTTCTTAAAAATATGATAAATTCATGAAGTTCACTTTTTGGCAGACTTATTATGTCCCTTAGCCCTGCAGGATCGAGCCTGCATAATGGATGAAGAGATTGCCAGGAGACTGTCTGTGGGGCTCCTTCCATCGAATTACAAAAGTTATTTGAGGGAAAGGGGAAAGATGAAAAAGAGTGAGTCTTGAGTGAATACATATAGCACAGGGGTCAGCAATCATTTCAGGCGGAGAGCCGCTTACCCAGTTTTGGCAGGCTGTCGAGGTCCACATGGGTAGCCCTGCCCCTTGACAGGTGCCCCACCCCATGGTCACCATCTTGGGACCTATGTCCCAGGACCAGCACCGGTGAGGCCCAAAGCAGGGCACAGGCGGGCAGGGGTCTGTGGAGCTGGGCTGGGCTGCATCAGCAGGGAGAGGGGGAGCTGGCCCAGCTCCATAGAGCCCCTGCTGGCTAGGACCCCGGGCTCCTGCCACCCTGCTCTGGGCCCTGCAGGCGCTGGCCCCGGGACACCGATGTGGGCCCTGTGCTCCCACTGGCTCCTGCCCCCACTCGCACCCAGTAACCCCCAGGCCCGTGGTACAGGTGGAGGGCAGCGCACAGCCCCGACCCCCTGCTTGACAGCAGGGAAGAAGGTGGTGCTGAACATGGGGAAAAGCAGCCCCTTGTCCACCCCGTGGCTGGTGCTCTTCTGCAGGTGCTTGCAGCCCACACAGGGCTGTCTGGAGCAGGCACAGGCAAACCTCACAAGGGCTGCAAGCAGCTACAGCGTGGGGCACTGGCCATGGGGTGAGCAAGGGGCAGCTTTTCCCCCTACCCCACGCTCAGCTTTTTCCTGGGCCACTTTTCCCCAAGCTTCTTCCCTGCTTGGGATCCTCCCCTGCCCTCCCCCCTCTTCATCTGCTGGCAATGCTCCTACTAATGCAGCCCAGTATGCCGTTAGGATTCTTGGCAACAAGGGCACGCTGTTGACTCATATCCAGCTTACTGTCCACTGTAACCCCCAGGTCCTTTTCTGGAGAGCTGCTGCTTAGCCAGTCAGTCACCAGCCTATACCAGTGCATGGGATTGTTCCATCTTAAGTGCTGGACTTTGCACTTGTCCTTATTCAACCTTATGAGATTTATTTTAGTCCAAATTCTCCAATTTGTCAAGGTCTCTCTGAATCCTAGCTGTATCCTCCTGCATATCTACTACATCCTTCTGCATATCTGCTACTCCCCCACCCCTACCCCCCAGCTTGGTGTCATTTGCAGACAATGAGGGTGCAATCCATCCCATCTTCCAGGTCACTGAAGAAGATATTGAACAAAACTGGCCCCAGGACTGACCTCTGGGGCACTGCACTTGATACTGGCTAGACATGGAGCCATTGACTACTACCTTTTGAGCCTGACAATCCAGCCCATTTTCTGTCCACCTTACAGTCCACTCATCTAACCCATACTTCCTTAGCTTGCTTGCAAAAATGTTGTAGGAGATGGTATCAAAAGCCTTGCTAAAGTCAAGGTATATCACATCCACAGCTCTCCCTGCATCCACAGAGCCAGTTATTTAATCTTATTTAGAACCCCTTTTTGTGAAGCCATTTTATTCAGGCTTTGCTCCAGAGAATGGGTTTTAGCCTAATGGTCAACAGTTTGTCCTAGCTGTAGGCTCTTTTAGAGCAAGCAAAATAACCCCCTACATTTCTGCTGTATGTGGTACAACTTGAATTATTTTTTAATTTTGAGTCCCCTCTCTTCCCCCCCTCCCCCCCACAGGAAAAAAATATCTGGAATTTAAATTAATCTTTCAAAATTTTAAACAGAAACATTTGGCGTCATCATTACTTCAAAATTTAGTGGTTCATTACCACTAAAATAACAAGGCATCAAGCACATAGGTTTTTACTACATTGATTCTAAAGTTATGTACTTTTAAGTGAATTGCAGTAGGAAATAAGAATGGTTTTCTTCAGAAATGTTACTTATTTGTAGGTTTGGGGATTTAGCAGATAATTATTTTGTATGCTTCTGTATAAAAAAAACACGTAATTATGCAAACTGCTTTGCAGTTAAATTCTGGTTTACAGTAGAACCATACACAATTCAATTACCTTCTTATAAAATAACATTTAATATAACTATCAAACGGGCTTAATAAAAATGTTCCAAAAATAAATCAACCATTTTGGCTTTGGGAATTTATATTAATGAAATAAAATTTAAAATGGAGTTGTATTTTTCTAGGAATTGACCAAGTAATTATTTTAATGTACCAAATATATTTTATTAAGCATATTTTTACTGAACATTTTAAAAACAGTTTATAAATCCATTTCTACTTTGGCATCCTTTCCATCAGAGGATATTTCAGAAACAGCTAATTTCTAAAACATATTCTTGAAAACACTATTTCACTTGTCCCTATAAAAACTTAGTTGAACTGCCTGCAAGTTTGTTTTATATCTTTAAGATTTCAGCAGTAACTTATGACTTGCTAAAAACTTTACTGAGGAAAAATACATTTTTGGATAGTACGTTTTACAAATATTTATGGCACTTTCATTTTCCTTTTAGAAAATATTTGGCTCAAATCTTAGGGTTTTGTATCTTCATTCTTTCCCTAAGAATCTTAAGAAAGTACCACACAGAACTTGAAAAAGCTGACACTTAAAAGGTGTTTTTATAGCAAGTTGGAGTTGGAGTGTTTCTGATGCTTGCTCTTTAAAAAAATGGTACCACCATATTGTAGAAAACAAAATTTAATTTTTGTAATCATAGTTTTCACCAGTGATTTCTAGATATACCAATCTTTAAATGCTGGTTATGAATATATAAAGCTATTAAGAAACTACTACCTTTATAGTAAAAATTATGCTATTTAACCAGTTTTCTAGTATGTACTTGTTTTGCTTTTAAAAAAAAATAGATTTTTTTTTGCTAGCTATAGCTAAGAATGGTGACCAAGAGAGACTTAAAATCATACTGCAGCCATTTTAATAGACCATAATGTTAAATGTCTCTAATTATATCATTCCATTTCAATTAAAAGGTACAGTTTGATAAAGTAACACCTGTCAACTTCTTGAAGAGCAGTCACACATTCCTTGGCAAAGGCATTGACAGAAACCATACACAAGACAGATAGTTAGACTTGAGGGAACAAGACTGACGCATACAATTCCTAGGGTCACTTTCTGAATCACCAATAAATAGATTCCAAGAGGCAGTGAACCAAAATAGAAAAATCCCAGCAGCCACACCAGTATTCTGGGTACATGATTGCACAGCTTAGAGAAGAGATCTTGGTCTAATTGACTGTGAGAACTTAGAGATACTGAGTCAAGGCTATGGTCTGCATAATAATCTGAGATAGTGTTTTGGCTTGGAGTCCTTGTGGAGTCTCTTTGTACTTCCATGATTGTAATTACTAAGCAGTTTGAAGATCCATGGGAAGGACTTGAGGAAGCCAAGTTTTTGGGTGTTAAAACTACTTCCTTACAGTCAGAATTCCAGGCTGTTCTGTCTTTCAGCGCTAGTTTGGACATAATGTTTGTATCATTAGGGAGTCCTTCCACTTCATCTTCATGCAACTCTGTCTCATGGCGGCAAAATGGACAACTAATGCAAAGAGAGCCATCTCCTATGTGCAGTATTTTAGTCAGGCATCTAGCACATACCCTGTGGAGACAGTCCAGGATTTTGGGTTTACGACTGTGAACATTAAATCTCTGGTAACAGATTTTGCACTCCAGTTCATCATTTGGCACCTTCTCTTCCCCTTCAGTGTGAGGGTAACTCATCTTTAAATTAGGCACACTGTCAAAAAAAGAAATCAGAGTAATAAGATCTCGTACCTCTGAAAATCCCTTAAGGAATTAATAAAATCATTAATTCTCTTAAGAGTAAAGTCTAGTGATACTTATAAAACTTTTAACTTGAAAATGGTTACTGTTGCCATTATAACCCACCCTTTGTTTTCAATTTCATTTTACTTGGCAATCTGAGTGTTTACGTTAGCCACTACAGCAAACACTCCATTCACTGTACACATTTCCTGGGTCATTGACCTTTCTGTACCAATGCAATGCGGTCTTGAAACCAGAACATATAGGTAAGACAAAAACACGGATGCTCCTGTTCATGTTCTCCTTTAATAAAAGTATCTAAGTGGGGGTAAGAGGAGGGGTGCATATGTGTTCAGCTACCAGATCATTAGTCTTTAGTCTCACTTTATATGCTATGTTTCCTGTTCCTTTAGTAGTAGGGGCCAACTTTTTGGGTGCGCTACAGATTAAGCCTCATGCCCTCCCTGGGTGCTGCTCCAAACCCCTTCCTCTGCCTGATTCACTGCTCTGCTTTCTGCTCCCTGGCCCATTTGCCATGCGCCACATGCGGTACACATTCTGCAGATTGACCACCCTTGCACTACTGAATCCCTGTCTAATTAGGGCTTCCCTTTTTTCTTGAGAATGGGTTTTGGAGCCCTTGAAAATGCAAGGGCTAGCATAGGTGTCAGAACAAGCGCACACACTCAATACTTTATTTCTGTCTGCCTGTTTCTGTCAAAGGCATACCCCTCCCCCCCACCCCCGCACTGGTAATTTGCATTAAAAGTTATTGTACAACATTATCTTTTTTTTTTCCTTGGCCATTTGGGTGACCACAATAGGAGTGATCTTTCAAAATATGCTTGTCTGTGTTCTGTCATCCCCACCATATGCTCTGCTGACCAGAGTTGCTTGGATTTCACTACAGATGAACCAAATATGGTATAAGAATTCATCATATTGCTTGGCCTGAGCCAGACATTATGCAGTTATATATAGGCAAGAGTGTCTAGATAGATCAATGAATGGATGATGAAATCATGACAGGTAACAAACCTATTTTTCCTTACTAGGTGACCACTTATTGAATGCTGTTAACCACACTTCAGCAGAAAAAAGGACTTTGAAATTTGAAATCAAATTATGGTCTAACATTGACAAGTGTTTATAATGTGCTTTGCCTTAAAGACAGATCTCATTATCATGCATAAATGCTCCTGGTACACTGTTCTATGAGTCTGAAGCCACAAAAGAAGCTTCACAGTTGCTCATTTTACTGTGTTATGCATATACTGTTATTATTAAGTAGGTATAGCATAGGGTTCAGTCCAGTTTTCTATCAAAACGTTCAATTTTTTAAAGGAGCCAAAATTAACATATAGATCCTGCAAACACATGGACACCTAAGTACCTTTATAAAGATAAGTGACCAATCAAGCTCATTGTGACCGTTCACATACTTGAAGTTATATGCAGGACTGAGGCCTACAAGCATCAAGTCTTTTGACTTCTTATTTTATTTTAGGAACACCATGATCATGGTACACACCATTTTTTATTTGCATTTACCAATTTGTGTCGTCAGGTATCTTAGCAGTTATCAATTACCTTACAAAGGGGATTACTCAAACTGGTGAAGTCTTAGGGTAATACAGTATCTACATACTTGATAGGGATGTAAACACAGACTTAGGTGAAATGTCTACCAAGATATAAATATGAAGAATTACAACATAATTAACAAGGGAATGAACTGAACCTCATATCACTGCCAGGGTTCCTTCTTGGGTACAGAAATGGAAAGAATTAAGCCACCTCTCCTGCATACCCAGCACAGAGGCAGCCCCAACAGCCATAACAGCATCCTCATGCCTCTATTCTGGAAAATTAGCTTCTTTGCTTAACGCATGCCACTTTGGAGGGTTACTTTGTGGAAAAAAAGTACCTGAAGTATGCAAGTAAGCATACTAGTTGCATTTAAAAAACAGAAAATGTTTATATGAAATGTTTCTTGAGCCTAGAAACCCACATTCTCTCTGTAGAAGGAGTTGTTTAGGAATAATTGGTATTTTACTAAATGTTTAGCTTTTTTAAATCTCTCAAGGCTGGAAGATAGCTTTTTCAGTGCTGGGGGGTAGGGATTATGGTTAAAACAACTAGTTTACTTTTTTCCTCTAACTGAAGCATGAAAAGGTTAAATATACTTTGCATGGCAATTGCCATTTATTTATTCAGCCTTTAGAAATCATGGCTGTGGAAAACTATTTGCTGTACTTATTTTTTCATTGTAATATATCCATATAGTTATAATACAGCAGTGTGATAGCAGATTAGGGATAATTAACTGTCGTTCATTACCTGGCCAGAAAGAAACCATTTTGCAACCAGAAATACTTTCATTTCCTTAAATCTTGGAGTAAGATATAGGCCCAATTGAAGTCAGTGGAAATTTTCTATTGACCTTAACAGAGTCAACATTTTATTCCTTGTCTTGAATATTACCGGGAATGATGCTGTCTCCTGGGCGACAGTGTGGGGCTTTCATTCCTTTCAGTCCTGAACAACATATAGTGGCAGATAAGCCTTCAAGGTAGTTGCTAAAAACCAAAGCTTTGCATCTCTTCTACAAATTCATAAACATGCTCTGGGAAAAGAAAATTTTGAAGTCAGACTGAATGGACATTAGATGAGCTTTTTCTTTCTTCTTCCCTTTCCTTATATCTACTTATCAGCCTTTCAGATAATTTGGTACTAGTTGGATTTCTAGTGTACGAGGAGTGTATAGTAACAGCATTACACATATGCCTGTATTTATTAATGCTTTTTTTTCCTTAGACTAATGATCAAGATGGGAAGATCTTCCTTTTCTTTTTGAACATGGGAGCACACTGTGCCATGCCACTCCACATGCTCTGTTCTCCAAGTGAATGTAGTAGCCTTAGTATGGCTCTGGGCTTGTGTCAGTAAGCTCAATAGCTCTACTAAGCCAGGAACATTACACTGAGGTCTTAAATTTAATGTTAATTTAGTTTTCTGTGCAGTTTTAAATTTCACACTTGTGGGCTGAGTGCTGATGACAGGCACACCATAAATAAATACATATACACAAATACAAGACAAACACTTTAATGCCAATTTGCAATTACACTGCAAAAGTCAGTGGCAACTTTTGACACTTACATACATACATAATCTCTACATCATCATTAACCATTCAAGTGTGAATTCAATTGTGTAATAGAGACCCTTTCCACTGATTTCAGTGGGCTTTGAATTAGACTGGTAATGTGTGCGCATAACAGCAGTTCCAGATTTAAATCTCCATCATAAATTCTGATGAAGTAGTTTTTTCACTGAATGCACCGAGTGCATTTTGCTGCAATGAGAACCTCACCTCTGTATTTTTAGGTGCTTGTTGACTGATAGAAATCCAAAAGCCTTTCTTTTATGTCCAGTCCTGATTTCAACACAAGACAATGTAAAGGTCATTCCATATGTAAAGGCTGCTTCCAGACATTAAAAAAAACAAAACAAAAACAAAGCACCACACTTTACCAGAAGTAGCAACGCATTACTTTGACCTAGCTCTGCAGCGTCTGTATATATTTGGTGCTTTTATTTAATAGCTGATTCAATCAGCTATTAGATAAAAGTGCCAAAAAAGCCACAATTAAGCATCTAATCTATACAGAAATTGGGCGAGCTGGGTCCAACTAATGCAGTGCCTATTCTGGGCAAGTGCTGGGCTCAGTGCGGCAGTGTGCTGAGTTAAAAGTAAAGCGCTGTTTTTTTAATGTCTGCAAGCAGCTAGATCTCAGGATACTGACAAACAAGAGCCTTCAAAGATGGATAACAACAATCTGACAACAGAAGGACTAAGGAAGGAAAACATAACTTGCCAGAGCTTCAAAAGCCTAATTGTCCTAAAATTCTAATATATCAGAGACCAGCCTGGATGAGTGATCACAGTGGGTGTGTCTACATGTTCATTAATCTGCCTTCAGTAATGTACATTCAAATTTAGTCCCTCCATTGTGAGGTACTAGAAAAAGGCACATTAGCCTATTTTAATGCACATTAGTGAAAGCACATGTTTTTTGTGATGCTTTAATGTGCATTAAAATAGGCTAATTTACATTAAAATGCACCCAGTGTGTCCAGTTAGGAAGAAACCAGAAGTCCAAAACATCTTATTTTCTCAAAATTAAATATTGTATCCTACTGTGTACAGAGATTTGTCTACCAAGTAGAGCTATGCATATCAAAGGAGCAGACTGGCTGAGCACATCAGTAGGCTAGGCTTGGAATGGGCCTTGAACCAGGGCATCTTCATTCTAATGGTAAACACCTCACATGACTTAAATTTCAGTTCTGGCAGCAGGAGCAATGCAGGGACACATCTCTACTTCACAGAAGAAACCGTGGAAACAGATGGCTCAATAGTAAGTAGCAGGACTTTCTCTTCTGCCAGTCCTAGCACAAATGCTGAAGAACATTAGGAAACAAAGAACCTAAATTAGTGTCATAGTACCTTACAGTAAGACCAGCTACTTTGACTTCTCTGTGTAGCTTCTCAAATGCACACATTTACCTAGAGACCATAATTTCTTTCTGACAGGGCTCTTTTGTATTTCAATCCAGACCAGTGTCCATAACCATATGGGCCTTTTTCTCTGGAAGATGCACATTTCTAACTTGAAGATAAAAATCTACTCTTACAGAATAATGAACTGCTTTGTCAAGGACTTGCTTCTGATATGAAGGAAGGCAAAGACAACACCAAGAAGCTCCAGCATACCCGTGATCCTTGATTTCTTACAAGCCAAAATGAATCTTGAGTTTCAAACCATCTGATAGGCCCCCTCTACACTGACATGTATTGCACAATTAACTGAAGACCAGCTACACGTGCAAAGGAGCTATCACAAAATAAAAAGCTCCAACCACCTATAAAGTTAGACCTCAAAAATGTGTACTAACCTCATAGTTGCTTGCTCTCAAGTTTTAATTTGTATGTTGGCAGGGATCCCAACCACAGGGGTGCACCATGCCCAGTGTAAAACCTCCAGGCCCTGGGGATTGAGGCTGCCATGATCCCTTGGGCTAAGGGGTGCAAAAAACCACTGGGGCTGCAGGATCACCACAGGGTGATTCCCCCTGTTCTGCGAGTGCAGGTAACCCCTGGGGCCAGAGGATCACCACTGTGGGGTACATGGGCTGCCCCCATGCTGAGAGTCTCTCAACTGGGGCACATGGGGATTTAGTTCCCTTTGTGCTGGCAATAAGGAGCGTAGCAGGAAGCAAGATTGTGGAATCAAGCATTAGATCCCATCATACCTTCACCTACATGTGTTAGAGGGGGCTATAAAGACAGGCAGGTATTAAAGCTTGTGCGTGTTCTCTATGCCTCCTGAATCATTCTCTGGTTTCGCCAAACAGCAAGACTGGCAAAAACAGAGACTGTCTTTATAAATTTAACAGTTTCTGTTTCATAGCACTTGCAGCTCAGTGATCTTCAATCTATGGCATCCCTCACTTTTCTTCTTCAAAATTAATGCATTTTCCTCTATCTATTATGTCCCTGTAGCAATTATGCAGAGTCAGGATACTTATCTGCAATTAAGCATGATATTGAACTTGTCTTTAGGACTCCATTTCAAAAGCAATTGAACTCTCATATGAAATTAACAAAATAAACCACCATTACATGAAGGTGATGGTTCTGGTTTCTGTACAAGTGCTAATTATTTTCTAGGAAGATGCTTGTAGAAACTTTGTCTTTGAATCAAGCCAAGCCACAGGTCCTCAATAAAGACCCCAAAAACACTAGTACACAGATTATGTGCACACTATTCTTAAGGGTATTTAGTTTCATTTTTAAATTAACAGCTTATTTATTATTATTGTTACACCTGCTCTTCCAGCCCCAAAATATTTCTATTTTTGCTCAAACTTTCAAAAAAAATCTCCCCGTCAGGCAAAGATACCTGAAGAATTGTCACATTGAAAGTGACTTACAGAAATCAAAGTGTATTTTATCACCACACACTAGCAGGTGTCTCTTAGAATGTGTCTTTGGTTCTGCACAGAAATGCAATAGGCAGGTCTGAGGGCTGAATGATATGTTCAGATTGACAACTTTGTCTAACTGAGTTACTGTGGAATAACAAAAATGACAGCACTTCTATAAAACATAGCAGTTTTGTGATTCAGAAGACATGTTTTTACTTTCAGATACAGAAAATCAGGAGTTGGCAAATATATACTGAAGCGATGCGCGCATTAGAAGAAATTCTAATATTTATTTCTACACAAATCCGTTCTTATGCTTGTAGGGCCAGACTTTCAACAACAGACCTTTATATAGGAACCATGTCTGAGGGCATGCATCAGTCAGGTTTTGTTTGTGCAAATTCTGACTTGCATAGTGACAGCAACTTTCAGAAATTAAAAGTTCTGTCAGTATTTGTGCTGTACCATGGAGTGAATGACCATCATATATATACCATGGATCTATCTACCATTCTCTTATAGATTATGTTTGTATTGGAAGTTTTAATATTTAAGTACAAACTAATTCAACTACAGTTATAAGTAGGGACCTACTTAAATTGCAGCAAGACACGTTTTTTGCAGCCCTCTCTTAGCACACAGAGCTGATTTTGTGGTGGCCCCGCCCCTCGGCACTAATTGGCAGAGAGGCCCAGGGGGGAGACCACCATCTTGATTGCTGGCTGCCCTTCCTCAGCACTGGTTGTCAGGGTGGCACTGGCAGGGGGAGGAGGGATGAGGGGGCAGCTGCCATTTTGCCCACTGTCCTTCATGCGGCCCTGCCAGCTGGTGCCTTTCCCTCTTGGCAGTGAGGACCAGTGGCTCCCACTCGGGGAGCCAGCATTTTATTTTTTTTAAGGGTCGGGGGGGGGGGGGGGGCGTGGGGGGCCGGGGTGGGGTTTAATTGTTTATTTTGTGGACAATCCCGGATTTCACGGTTTCCACAAAATCTGTGAAACCAAGAATTAAGTAGGTCCCTAGCTATAAGGCTAGCGTGGAGAAGGCGAACAAATAGGTACCTTTAGAAGTTAAGCATTAAGTTGAATTAGGATGAATAAACTTGACTTTCTCCAATGCATGTTAAAAAGACAATATGTTTTTGGTTCTACGTAGCAGTTACAAATTTACTTGTAACCTCATTTTATTTGACATATTTTCTTTAAAAAGAAATGAGATGTAAAAGTATATTTGCATTTGAAATACTGAAACCCCACATCAGAATTTCTATAAGGAAGGTTAACTCGGTTGTATTTCATGTACTGTGGATTGGATCAGTCATGTAACATTCGTGGTGTGGACTATTTTGTATAACAATACTATCTCAGATACTTAAGTATTTTCAAGGAGGCTGAGTTGATTGATTTACCAATCTTAACTTTTCAAACCAACTAACTAAAGCTTAGTTAGTTCGTTAACTTTAGGTCACACCCTTACTTTTACTTAATGAGCCATCTTGTTGGCTATGCTGAATTTCTTCATTATGTAGGTACATTAGTAAATATATGAGAGACTGGGGCCTCAGTTTACTGCATTTAATAATACTAATGCTTTATTGTTGGACAACAACATTTGCCCACAGATCAAAGCTAATTTACACAATTATTTAATTCCTCTTATCTGAATTTAGTAGTGTGAGGGGCTATAAAATGTCTAACAAAACAGAAGTCTGGTGATGGAACATAATGGATCCCTCAGGAACAACGCAGATGTTTAAGTTTATGTACCTTTTGAATTCCAATTTTAGGATGAATCTGCAAGGTAGCAAAGGTAACAAACTGTCCATATAACAACCTCAAAACAAAAACTTGTCTACTAGTTCTAGTGTTGCAGTGGTGCTCAGAGGGACTATTTTCCACAAAAAAGGAATCAGTCTCTAAATTGTTTGCTCAGAAAATATAAATTCACCATTGCAAAATTTATCTCGTTTCTAGAAATTTGCAATTTTGTTTTTATATATATATATATAAAAACAAAATTGCAAATATAATATAATTAATTTTTTTTTTTTAAAGAAAAAAAGTCTCCAGTTTTCATGGAAAAAGCTTGCAAGGTGGCAAGTAAAAAAAAGGATTAATGTTGTTAGTTTAATTTCAGGCTTTAAAGGAAACACCAAGATTTTGGGGACCCAATTCATGATTTATGAAATCTTTAATTTGTTATTCTCCAAAGTTAGAGACTGTAATTTGTACTGATGTTCTAATTATTACAAGCAGACACTCCCTTCACTTTCTATGCAACTCCTTTTGTAATCTGTGGGCCTGAATTACTATCAAGGCCTAATGATCTGATTTTCAGATACTAAGCAAAAGGATGCCTAATTGCTATTGCAGTCAAAAGGATTTGGAAATGTATTGCAATTCAGAAAAATCAAACTTTAAAGCAATATGGCATGGAACTATGTAAAATATGCCAAGGCACAAAAGGTAAAGATCAGGTAAATGACTACTCCAGAAGGAATTGTGGTAGGGGAAGCTGCTTTACTGTAAAGGGGAAAAGACTGAACATTTAATCAGCTGCATCTAGAAGCCAATGTTTTTCATGACAGCCTGTTAAAACTTTAATTGGGTCCAGTTTTAAAGCCATTTCATTATTCTGCAGATTGATTCAGTATATTTTATCCCTGCGGTATTCATGAATATAAGGACTGCAGTAACTAATGAAACTCTGAATTACCAGTTGTCATAACGCACCACTTCAGTCTTAGGCCTCTTAAATGCCCAATGACAGTTCTGTTTACTCACCCTTAAATGTTGTCAAAATAATTGTCTGTATAATGCTCACAAATGCGTGACTTCAACCTCATTTCATGACTGTAATGATCGCGCACAGTTCTAAAGCCATTCCTTCTTCCCTGCCAACTACTTATCCATTGGCCAGTGCTGACCAGGCGGCACTAAGATAACTTATTATTTTTCACACCATATGCAAGGACCACATGAGACTTGAAGGTCTTCTGCATGTTGTTGGTATTTAAGTCCCAAAGTCTCTTGATTGCTATATGGGGATATGATAGGGAGGAGTGGAGGTAGAGAGGGCATTTTCTACCTTTCTTATTGAAGGTGGCTTCCTACTCCATGTGAAGGCTTTTTGGACTACTGCTCTGAGGCATCTAACTCTCCCCATGCTCTCTGTGTATAGCGAAGCAAGGTGCCTAATTCTGGGTTTGGATTCCAATCTAGAGGCTCAACACTTAACTTGTAGGCATGTAAGCTTTTATTGCAGCAAGCTGACATGCAGAATCTAGCCTTAATATCTAGATGCAGAATTTAATATTATTCAGTTCTGTACATTTATGTCCAGAGAAGCTGAAGTGTTCAAATGGAACCTGTAGCATGTGCCACATACCTTAAAATATATTTTCAACTAACATGCATGATTCCCATTGTTGCCCATCATTCCATACTAGTTCATCCCCATCTCTTTTTAAGATTAAGCCTCGATAGATATAATTGAATTTGCAGGAGATGAGTATTTTTAAACCTTCAATTCACAAAGTAAAAATTTTCTAGTTCTGCTGCACTTTTCACACAAGATTCTAATTTCAGATCCATACGGATGTAGTGAGGGAGGCCTCTAAGTTTGACAATCATAATCATGACTTCACCTTCTGTTTGTAATCATTAGCAGGAAACAACCTACGTAAGATTTCCTTAAACACAGTTTTGTCACAATCAGAGAGAGGGATGTGCATAACACTAAGCTTTCTTAAGTCAAATATTTCTGACAGTTCCACATCGTAGCATATGATATAACAGAGAAGTTGACTTGGAAAACCAGATTACATTTCATACGCAAAATATTTTTTCTATTCTGAGGGTACAAATGACTTGTATCAAAAGGAAGGAAAAAATCTCCCCAGGGCCTGCATTAAATGTTCATTCAATTGTTTGTTAACTAATTTAAGTGTTTTTTGTTTGGTTTTTTTTTACTTCTGTGCAAGTTATTCTAACCACCGAGTTGTTCAGCTATGTACAGCATTCATGTAAAGGAACAAAACATACTTTGGTATTATGAAAATAAAACCCTTTTCTTGTACATTTAATGTTATTAGGAAGCCAGCCTACTTTTCTCTCCTAGCTTTAAGACTACAGAATTGATAAAGTACAGGCCTTCTAGAAGTATCTGCTTCTTCACATTACACACTGATAATTAGTCTTGACTGGTGAACAAGTGGATAAGCAACATGTGCTGTGAAGTGTAGCTTTGCATCCAGAATACCAAATCCCTATTTGTTTTGCTGTTGCTATCTATCATTTTCACCCAAAAGACAGACCTCGGTATAACAAACTATTCAGACCACACAGTTGCCATATATACTGTGGAAAGCATACACTTATTACCTACTGACTAATAAATACTTAAAAAAAATATTTCTGTATGACCTACCTGATTTATTTGAGCAAGTCATCCGTGATGTAAAGATCAAGCCACAGTGATAAAGGAATGTTGTTAGCTGGCTATTTTGCTGGTATTAATTATCCTCAGCACCACCTTGTGTAACCATGCTTTCCCCATAATCTTTAACTCACAGGTGTACAAAAAGAAAGCAGCTGGGAAGCTCGGAGACATCAATCTCAAAATGACTGAGCAAGAGAAGGAATTTGCTGGGAAGACTGCTCAGTACCAGCAAGAAATGAAGCACCTCCAGCGGCTGCTGCAAGACAAGCAGGAAACCCTTGACGAAGTGCTGCAGCAGAAAAGGTAAGGCAGTCACAGCCAAAAACAAACCAATTAGATCTGACTGGTAAAAAGGGGGGCAGCTGCACAGCTGCAGGCACTTGCTTTTCATCAAAGCCCCATCTAGTAGATTCTGGGTACATTCTCTCACTCATGCCTGGACTATATTGAAAAAAGCTGAACTCCCCCTTCTAATTGTCCTCCTCCTACCTCCAGGAAAAAAAATCAAGAATCCAGTTTATTGTGATAGATTTCAGCTGGTCTTAATACCATAATTATAGAAAAAGCTCCTGATGCCTCATTGTATCTCAACAAAAAATTAATATGTTCAATATCAATTTGAACTCAACCTTTAATTCTTTTAAGTGTCTATAAATCACTAAGGTGTATGATAATTTATTTAAAAACATTTTCCATTGAGGACTGAAGCACAGTTTTTACTGACAGTTTTCTGACTAATGGGAAGTGAAAGCAGTGAGATGAGTGCAGAGTTATGCAGGGGTCCGTTTTTGGATGATAAATACTGACACTTTGTTGGTATACCAAGATCCATGAATGTAGATTGACAGCATGAAAACTATAAAGGGAAATCAAAATAATTTAACAAATTTTGATGAGATTATGACTGTGTTAAAGTATCTTATTAACATTAAAGTGTGTTTTTAAAGAGATTTTTCCTTCTAGTGGTGGAAGACTTCATAGCACATTGTCATTATCATAAAACAACAACAGTAGGAGAGAGCTAATTAAGCAGTTATTTTTTTTCCAAATCATTTCAGCCACTGTGAAATAATGGATTTAAAAATTATGGAAACCAATGCTCAGTCAGTCCCATCTGTGTCTGCAGTATCAGCAGTTTTATTTTCTTTGTTCATACAATGCCATTAAACGGGATTAAATAATTAGTAACTACATAAACACTTTGATAGACCTCTGAAAATTGATACAGAATATTTTGATCCTTTCCGATTTCTCTGGAGACTGTCAGTTTGAAGTCTTAACTAAGTAAGTACCTCTTTTCCATCTATGCTCAAGTCAACATTTTTTTTGAAAGAGCAAGCAATTAAGTGAAGGAGATCTATATAATGTACATACATTCAAAGTGCAATTATGTGGAACACTTTGGTATTGGCTATACGCCTGAAGAAAAGGGGGGTTAAACTACTCAACCAAAAAACCAATTGCAAGTATAATTACTTCAAATATTTTTTTCCAAGGATAAATCTCACTTTAAGTCACTCTTCCTTCTGAAGCTTGAATTGACTTTCTTTTTTCCTGATAAAATGCCTCTCAAATAAGGTAATTAGTTACACCCTGAAGAAGCTGCATCTATGTCCAGCATTATACCAATGAATATTAATGCTTTTTTTTTAATTTTTATTTAGCTAGAGTAGTAAGGAAAGGCTGGTTCATGCAAATATTCACAATACTAATGTCACAAAGAGAGATGCTTTGCATTCAGACAGACTCTTTCATTATAATAGTATGAGTGCTGACTGCCTTATTCTGATGCTTGCTAAATCTTGCCAGCATTTACTGGAATACAAAATGATAAACAGCTGATAAAGTAAAGCTTTTATGTTAATTGTATATTAATTTTCAAATATATAGATTCATAGATGTTAGGGTCAGAAGGGACCTCAATAAATCATCGAGTCCGACCCCCTGCATAGGCAGGAAAGTGTGCTGGGTTCAGATGACCCCAGCCAGATGCCATGTTTTGGTTCAACTCTCCTTTTGTTATATTTTATTTGCAAGAGTTATATAAGAATCTAAATTGAAGCAAATAAATACTTATCACTGAGGGGCAGATTAAGTATAAAAATCAAGAATATCCCTTTTATTTTTAACCATACAGATTTTTTTAAGTTTGGTACAGTGAGCTTGGTTATTTAAGCTCAAATAATTTGTATGGCCTTTCATGCAGATCTTAAACATTTTATTTTCAATAAAACTAGATAATTTTAGCTTTGGGTTCAGATAGTGTATTATCAATAATTCAAATAAGCATTTAAGAAATAAAACTAAACACTATCTGATGTCTATCTGGCACACAAATTAAAAGTTCATTAATTCTGTCATCTGTCAGCTCCACATATTTCTGGCTTTGTAAGGTTTATCTTTATCTCTGCCCCCTCTCCCAACCACAGACTGTCAGAGGAATAAAGCGGAAGGAGAAATTACTTGTAGGTTAGATGTCACTAATCATCTGTAGCTTGGCAACCAGCATCACTAGTGCTGGGACAGTAATGTACTGATGTAGTTTCATTTCCACTCAGCACTATTCAAGCAGCAAATTTGCAGTCCAGAAAATTGTTTTCAGCAGACAGAGAATTCTAAATGTGAATTTAAAATAGTTGATTATAAAAGATAAAAATATTCTGACTACTGTTTAAACTGAGACTGAAATAACAGACTGAATGCAGAATTTAATTGATGTTATAATTAGTAGGCCAAGATTTTTTTTTAATCAAGAAAGCTAATGTAATTAAATATTTAACTGAAGGTAGGTTAAATATTTGGCTAGCAAAAGCTAGTTTGTTTATGTATTTATGTTTCAATAATTGTTCTTTTGAAAGACAGTAAATCAAAGCAAATGATAATTGTAAATATGTTGATTACATAGAATTGTACTCAAAAGAAATATGCTTAGGTGAAGAAGACCCTGGGCTGATGCAGTGTCCTTTACTTACACTATTGAATTGCTTTCATTCAGGGGAGCTAGGAGCCAGATATAAGCTATGCCTTTTGGTTTTTGAGCTTTTGTGAGAGGTAGTTTACTTAGAAATAATACCATAAATAAATGCCAATGTTCTATTTTCTGAGCATGTTTTTCATTTTATGTATTGTTCAGATTGCCAACAAAAATGTAGGCTGCCATAACCCCATTTGGCTTTGAGGAATTTGTATTAGAGGTCAATCCTTGAAAGCCATGTCTTGAAATGAGACATTCCTCCTGGGGCAGGACTCTCAGGTTTCTATAATGAAGCACATTTACCCAGTGGCAGCAACAGGGTCTCTAGAAATGGAACTGCCATTCTAAATCTGTCTACATTAAAAATACTTAGATGAACACACAATGAATTATACAAATATATAGCTATGTTAAAGAAACACACAACATTTTAAAAAGGTCTTGCTATTTCTTGAAATAACTATTTCCAAATAGTTGCCTTTCCCAGTCAGTGTGCCCAGTTAAAAGGGTCAGGAACATATTTCAACCCAAGTATTTAATATTAAAGACCCTGATTTCTTCCTTTTACCACATTATCATTAAAAATAAATGACAAATGTACATGCCTGGATATGCTTCCTGCAGCCTGCTGTAATCACCAGACCACGGCCCTCCTGGAGCCAAATACAGAATCTGGGTTTCCTGTTACCTGATATTTTGCTGCTCTCTCATAAATAGCTCTGTAACTCACTACTAAAGAACTTAACATTGATTTTATTCCTTGGAATTATAAAAATAAAGATATCAACTGAAAAGCTGGCTAGGCCTTGTATAGTTTGATTTCAAATTCATAAATATACTGCAAATTGACCAGAAAGTTGAGATGTATTAATTTCAGATTTATTCATATATAAGAATAATACAATTTTTAGGAATGACAGATTTGCATACAGCAGGTTTTAATTAGCTGAGGAACAGTCATTCAGTGTTGGGTCATTTCATTTTTGCAGCTCCACGTCAAGTGCCGTCAGTTACTTATAATTCTTTAGGCTGCTTTGACCTAACTTGTTTCCTGCAGCATAACATGCATCAATCTTTCCAGAGGCTCTCATCACATCTTGGGAGAGCTCAACTGCAACAGAAACTCCTAGCACACTGCTGGCTTTGCTGGCTTTCTAATAAACACTTATCTCCTCCTTTTCACTTGCTTCCTAATTTTGTCCTTCAGCTTCATAATTAGTAGGTGATCACTGGAAATGCTTTCATAAATCTGGATACATTAATGCGTAGCATTTTATGTAACATTTAGAAGCTCAATTCTCCAGTCTTGTACCTGATATAGTTCTTTACCACTGTGAAAAGTAGCAGCACGGGTAGAAATGACTACACAAGGTGCCAGACTGGAGAATCAAACCCATAATACCTAAAGCATTTTGCAAACATTAATTTATGAGATGAGTGCAGTTTTATTTTTAAAAAATGGGGAAATTGAGGTACAATTAAGAAACTTGGTGAGGTCACTATTAGATAGAATTAAAACTCAGGATTTCTAGGATATAGGCCAGATCCTCAGTTAGTATCATATCCAAATATTCTAAGGGTTTGTGCCTGTGAACTACTTACCATGAGATAAAAAGGGAGTGGGTACCACATATCAGCTACTTCAGGGAAACTCAACTTTCACTTACCATGGGGCAAAGTTCTAACTGTAAGCACTATTTCACTGAGGGCTAAGCTGATACCTTTTAACTTTCAACTACAGTGGGGTAAGTGCATGTATATAGGCACTTAATGCAGAGCTGTTGATGTTCAACATCCCTTTTGCCTCGCTGCGATGGTTAACGTACCCAATTCCCTAAACAGAGTTGTGTGTACGTCAAAAAAGAATGACCGTCTCTTTTACTGATCTACTGACCATCAGCATTTTCTTATCTTTTTTTGCATAGTGTTGGAGTGATGTCGTAGCTATGATGGCCCAGGAAATATGCAAGAAGCAAGGATCTCTCTAGGCAAGGTATCATTTATTGGCCCAAATGTACGGTTAGGATAGATGCAGACAAGCTTTAGGTCACCTTCAGGTCACCTGAGGCTTTAGGTCGTCTTCAGGTCACCTCATCTTACTCTATCCCAACCGTGCAGTTGGTACATTAAAAGATAAATCACCCACAGAAATCCTTCACAGAAAATCCTTCACGGAGATCTTTTCATAGTCATTTGAACCATATGATACTTTTTTGCTCAAAATTTTTATATTTTTGTTTTTCTTTATAAAATGTACATACCAAAAACAATGTTGGGCTTTATAAAGTATTGCTAATATAAGCATTCTTCTTATTCAGCATTGGTGCTTTTCTGGTATTACAGCATCCTAGCATTTGCTTGAAGGCAAAATCTTGGGTCCAGTGAAGTCTATCGCAATGTTACCACTGACTTCAAAAGTACAGGATTTAGTCCTGTGAGAAGAGTCTGCCTCCTTCCCCCACCCCCCATGTGATAGCTTCTAAAGAACTGACTTGCAAATAGTAAATTCCTTAAATCTGACAGATTGAATTATCTCCCTTTAAGGCAATTCCTTTTCTCACTATTTCTTAAGTTCCAGCTTTATTCCAAAAATATTATAGAAATTCACATCAACTTTCTGCTTTACTAAATGCACAGGATTTGGTACTATATTCCCCATTTAAAATAGCTAATATTCATAGCAGGGCTATTGTTTATAAGGCAGGTCTATCTATGAATCATCCATTTTCCTCTCTTAAATGAAAAAGATTATATCTGAAACATGTAATCTAAGTTGTGAATGTAGCTGCAGGGTAAGAATCAGGTTTGTAAATGCCATCCAGTCTTATTTGTCTCAGAATAGTGTTTTCTTCCTTGTGTGATTTTTCTAGGTCACACCATATTTAAGCATATAAAGGCTCTGCATTGGTATAATACGTAGCAATTTGTTGCAGCTGCTGTACTTTCAGAAGACATGGCATGGCTCTTGCACATATAAAACATGGCTTCAGAGTTTGACTAAAACAACCTGTTTATCCTCAGAAAAGAGTCAGCAGTTTAGAAACTCTGCAGTCCTACATAGGTTGGAAAGATGAATCACGCAATTTTACTTTAGGCTCTCAGATGAAATTACCAATAACAGTTTGGTCTTCATGATGAGATGCTTATGCACAACAGAGTGAACTGAGGTAAATCACTGAACTAGCTACTGAGAAACTGAGGCTGAATTAATTTGGGTCAGTCAATGAGAAAAGCAATGAATTCTGTTAAGCAGAGTCTACCTCAGCACTTCTGTTGTTTGGTTTCTCATCTTAAGACATTAATTTAATATTAATACTCTTTAATATCATATGGGATATTAAGTCTTTCTAATTAAGCTTAGTTGAGATTGGACTTGAATTTTCACCCTTAATTTAGGCAGCCATATACTCATGAGAAGGGACCTACCTAATTCACAGGGGCCGTCCCGCCATTTCGCAGGCAGAACACAGGCCCAGGTAGCCATTTCATGGGTGGAGCGCAGCAGCCCTTCTCCTGCCAAAAAGTTTCAATTCAAAATGTGTGTTTGAGTTTCAGTCTTCCCTTCGTCACTGCCGCTTAATCTAAGGTTTCTGCTCTTGAAGTGTATTCATTGTCTAATTTGGGAAGGCAGGCCCCATAATCTTAGCATTGCAACAGAAAAACTTGTGAATTCTGTTTAGTTCTTAACATTTTCCCCGTCTCATGTAAATGATTTAAGAATCTGGCCCTCTAAGCAATTAACAGTTTGTTTCTCTCTCAGCTCTTATGCACGTTGTTTCCTTTTAAGCAGGGCTTAAAGTAGATCTGTTTATTAGAACAGTCATTTTTCAAGTTTCAGATAGAAAATGTAGAATGGAGGAAAAGAGAAAGACAAGTGTAAGGCAAACACTCAAAAGGAGCAGCTAGGACAGAGACTTCAAATAGAAACAACCCTGCACTATTGGGAGAGGAGGAGTTGAGTAATTCCGTGCTGGGACTTAAGAGAATAGCGAGATGGTCAGAATGTAATAGGAGAAAGGTAATTTTAGAGCAGTATTTTGAGTAGACTACTTGGGCTACACGGTTTTAGTTAAAAGAGGCATCAAAACTCACTTAGCTGCTGGGATGGGAGTACTGCTGAGACAGTTTTTTCTCTCCATTTCCTCTTGGTCTTTCCTCGTAAAATAATTTTCAACAAATTGTTTCTTGTTTACTTCTTCTCCAGCAATTCTTCATATTATGGGACTGAGCAGTCTGTGTACAGCTGAGAGTCATAAGCATAAACCAAAGCATAAACTGAGGACATAATATACTGTCTGTAAACAGAGTAAAATGTTCATTTTCTTAGTTTAACACCAATTAGGCAAGCATTATATAAATTAAGTCTAGATTTTAACCAGTATGTATGTGGACTCTATACAGTCCACACACATTCACACAGACTCTATGCATATATGAGCGAGAGAATGAAGACTTACTGGCCATTTGATCCAAAAGGAAAACTTCAAAACATCTGAGGATGGCATTTCAGCATACGGGAGATCTAAACAAGTGCATAACTGAACATAATGATTGATTGTGCTCATGATGCTCCAACACCTGTTATATTCCTGTATAAAAGCTGGAAATCATGCAGGTCTTTAAATGAAATAAAAAGACAAATAGTAAGGGCCTGGTGCATACATCCCATTATTTGCATCAGTTTATTCCTAGAAGGCACAGAAATCTGACACCTTATGGATAAAGCAGCAACCAAAACAAGCCAAAGGCTTCTCAGTTCTTTTATTGAGATAATTTAGGAGGTTGTGAGGCTATCAAATATCATATAATACTAAGCAAAACCACAGTTCATGAATCAATTACTCTAGCAGTTTAGAAGAAACCTTAGGGCAGAAACTGACATAAAATCACCACAGAATAATTCAGGTGCTATCAGACAAGAAGATATTTTGTGTGTGCTCTTAGCAGGTGTGACCACAGGGCAAATGAGATGAATTCAAATTGGATATCCTCCTTTCCTTGATAATGGAGATTCTTTATAGAGCTCATCCGCCAGAGTTTTCATGTTTTACTTCCCAGAGCTAGCAGTGGGCAATCATGATTTATAAGGTTATTTTGTTGACGTGTCAACATTAACTAAATGTTGTTCTATCGAAGTTAGAGTCTAACATATAATGTTGGTATTTGAAATGAACCTGTGAGACTGGTGTGGTGGCAGTGTAAGTGTCACAGCTCAGGAGCAGCTGGGATCCATTTTCTCAGATCTGAGTGTCCTCTGCAGGTAGCAATTGTTCAACTCTGATAGGAGGAGGGCAAAGGGGCAACTTTTGAAGACAGAGCCCCGGGGCTTCCTTAAGCAGAAACTCTTTTTTCATGTCTCCTGTAGAAGTGCCATATACATGAATGCTCAGAGAAGGCAAAAGAGCAAGTACTATTATATATATATATAGGGATAAATCCACCTTTCATTTTAACACATGCAAATCTCACTGATTTAAATGAGGAGTTTTACAAAGAGAGATTTGGACACAAAAGATGAACCCAGAAATAAAAGAACAGGAGGAAAGGACTCTGTTTTGATCATAGACTAATAGTTCTGGATTCCCCCTGAAAACATGCGTTTGAAAGGACCTGGTACAAGGTAACTTGTGTTTCTACAACTTAAATCACATCCTCTTTGCATGATACTTATGCTTGCTATCACTTAAAAGCACTAGAGACCAATTTAAATCAAAACTCTAGGCACTCAAATCTATGCATGATAATTCTGCTGTATTTACTCAGATCACACTATAAAAATGCAATGTTAAAGAAGCATTTGATTTGATTTTTTTTTAAAGTATTATCCTTTACATTTTTCCCTAGGAAAGTAGAAGGTGAACTTGAAATAGTATGGGAATCAACTTCCAAAGAGAATAGGAGAATGAAGGAACTCTTGCATAAATCTCTGGAGAAGAACAACATGTGGAACACTGTCAGAGTTTATGAATCTTACTTAGATGAAATCTCTGAGAAAGACTTAGTTTGTGGATATGATTTTAACTACTGTGACGTGAAGCCTTCATCAGCCACTAAGAATCAAAGTCAACAGGAACCTCTGGGTTGAGGTCAAAGATGTTTCCACATCTCACATGTGAAAGATTGATCCCAAAGAAACAAAGAGTAAAAGCTCAACGACAAACACGACCTAGCAAGACAGCATTTATCTTCTTTGATGCTATTATACTTTAACTCATCAACATAGCATTCTCTCCAAGGTAAAAAATTACATTTTCAGTCTAGATTTATTTTAATAATGCTGTTGAAGCTATTTGATAAAAGGCCATTCCTAACCCAGGAAAAATGTACAGTACCATAGTCACCACAGCATGCCAGCTCTACTTACCAAATTAAAAACTGATAAATAATTGCCACGCTCACAAAACATGCAAATATTGCTACAAAACAAGTGAACAATAAGAGATTAAGAGATAAAGATTTCCTACTTGATAAATGATGCCTAAGCGTTTATCAAATGGTTTTTAATTAATGTCAGTTTATAAAAAAAATCCAACAAAATTACCTAAATTTCCAAAATATGGTATTTAAT